TTCTTCAGCTATTTCTATATTTTCCCTTTCCTGTCGCAGATTTACTCAAATGCATCTTATGAAACAGCCTCTTAAGAAAAAAAAGTGAGTGATTCTGCGGTAGCTAAAGACAGGGTAGATATCGTATGTATGTTGCTCTAACTTGCATTAAAATCTCAGGAACGAGTCATGTACTTCTTTACCTGTTTTGTGGTCTATTCTGAACACTGTATGGGCCACTGAGCACTTTGCATGGATGAATGGGATGTATTTGTAGCCAGTCTTGAGCAACTTACATAGAAAATTGGTTTATTAAAGATACAATGAGCGATTTATGAAATTTTTTACTTTTTTCTGCCTCATGGTCTTCATACTCTGGAATGTTTACTGATCCTCTATGACTCTGCTCTGAATTTTCCTTAAGTGAATAATGTAACAGCTTCAAGAAAACTGTCCCTGTAATTATGCAATGTATGTCTGCTAATTGTCATAAAGTTAAAGTGCTTTAACTGTTCTCAATGCTGAAAGTATGGATTATGGAAGCATCTGTATACTAAGATTTAGATGCACACGTAGCCCAGCGTCTCTCATGGTGAAACCATGGACAAGCACATACATGGTCAACCACAGTTGCATGAATATCATCTGATATTACAGTTCTTTGCCTTCCTCTCCCTCTACCTCTTCCAGCTCTCTGTCTGTTATTCATCATAGATTTATTGAAAGACAACCATAGTAAACTCACACACACAAACAGCATCCTTCATAAGCAGTTAGTAGTTGAGCATCATGTGTGAAGCAATTTGACACACAGTTTTTTCAGATGGAGTGTTAAGTGCTAATTGATCTTTAGTTTTGAGCCCTTACGTTTGATTAGAGATAGGAGTGTTTTCTGATTGGTTGTTTGGTGATAATCGTGCTTTGCCAATGGGGTGTGTGTTTAACGATCTGCTGAAATGGTGCAACCAATCTCTGATATGACACTAACGACATGGACACAGTGTTTAATACTGGGAATAGTGTGGTCATTTTGAGGACTGAATTAAAGCATATGGTCATGTAGCTTAGTATTCATGACATAGTGTTTTAGCAATTGGGAAAAAACTGTAATGCGTTGCGTTTTTCAAAACGGAAATGTTCAGTGCCACTCGGGGCAGTATTCAACTGTTGATATCATTCCTCTGACAACAATATCAACGGTAGCTGAGAACACAACACATTAAGAGAACACAGCACATTAAAAATGAAATTTACTTACTTTTTTGTCATTATGTTTTTGGTCTTTATGTTTTAGCAATTTTTTGTATGTTTTTGTGTTGTTAATGTTTTTGCGTCACGTTAATGTTGACTTGCTCTGGACTTTCACGGCCACTGTACATAATATTAATGTTTTGTTTAAAAAAAATCTCTAAAGGCCAATCTTATCTTTTCCCATTAGGCAAACGAGTCACTATGTATGACAGAGGCAACATTGAATGGACGCCAATAGTGAACTTGACACTGCAGTATGAAGAGTTTCACAGCATTACAGGCATCAAGAGAGAAAAGCAAAAAGACACAACTTAGTCCTATACGGTAACTGAAGTGAATCAAATCTACAAGTCTACAGGGCTCTATGGATACAGAAATCTGATCTTTTTAAATCAGATTTGTCTCACTTACATATGTGGTCCTTGATCAGAAATGTATCTGATTGGTGGCTATGCTACATGAATGAGAATGGGCAGATTGGAATTGATGATGTTTTGCCTATACACATGCCAAAAGCTCAGTTGTCATCAGCCAGTACTGGCAGCGCTGCAAAACAACAATAGAGGATTGGATTGAGATCTGGGGAATCTGGAGGCCAAGTCAACACCTTGAACTCTTTTTCATGTCCCTCATACCATTCCTGAACAATTTTCACAGTTTGGCAAGGCGCATTATCCTGCTGAAAGAGGCCACTGCCATCAGGGAATACTTTTGCCATGAAGGGATGTACTTGGTCTGGAACAACATTTAAGTAGGTGATATGTGTCAAAGTAACATCCACATAAATGCCAAGACCCAAGGTCTCCCAGCAGAACTTTGTCCAGAGCACAGAGGCTTGCTTTCTTCCCATAGTGCATCCTGGTGCCATCTCTTCCCCATGTAAATGATGCACGTGCATTAGCTGTCCACATGATATAACAGATATTGAGACTCATCAGACCAGGCCACCTTCTTCCAAAGTCACAGGACACAATAGCAGATATGTTTGGAGCCATTTTCCACAAAATATTACAGATTTACTGTGTGTTCTATATGCCCCATGCTCCACCAATGCCAAATAATTTCTGTAAGCAAATACTGTGTTTAATTAAATGTCACGTCAAATTTCCATTAAATTAAGATACCTGTATTTCTACAACATTAACAGCAATGGTGTACATTTGGGTATGGACGGTAGGGACATATCCCTACCAATCTTGCAGGAGTACTGTGTGTTTAAGGGGGCAGGGAGTTCGGGGCTGATTTGGTACCTACCAGTGCTGAAACCAAACATGGCTTACAGCATAATTTACAGTACAAACCTACACCTTACAGTATGATTTACGGTGCTGTGCAAAAGTCTTAGGCAGTCAAAGTCAGTGATATTCATGTTGTTGAAAAACTATGATACTATGTCAAAGCGTAGCTTAACCATTTCAAAACTTCTTCTAAAGTCACCCCAGTATTTGCAGTAACCATCCAATACATCTACATGTTTTTTACTCGACCACTAGCACACCTTACATGGTTAATCAATATTGCATTAACTTAACTTCATTAATAAATGAAGTGAGCTGGTGGTGAAATTTAACTTGTACATGGAATGGCCAAGGTGCCCCTGAGGAGAGGTTTGGGAACTCAAATGGTGTTCTTCTACTCATCTTTTTTGGAGAACAGAATAATTTCTTATTAGATTTTTATTATATCCTCCTGAGACCCAAGGAAGAAAGTGTCCTTCAATTTTAGGTTTTTTGTCTTTGGTGGAAATAAGACATTACAATTTAGATTTTTTCAAATTTATTTTTATTTTTAATTTCACAGCATGTTCTCTTTAGTGTACAACAGGAATAAATATGTTTCCTTACATCAGTGAAAATGTCCACTACAATGGACATAAATGAATAGGTGGGGTCTCAGGAGGATATTACTCTTAATCTTCTAATGATATTTTTTTCATGAGCAAATATACATTTACTACATAGATAAATAGATTTTAACATTTTCATTGACTGCTTAGGCTTTTGCAAAGTACTGTGTATCCTCTAGGTTTGTAAGTATGACTAGCGCAATCAAAAAAAAAACCCCGCCCATACCCGCGTCCAAGAAGAGAGATGACTTATGAAATGTCCAACCCCGCTCGGCTAAACTTCACTTGACTGTAACCAAGAATTTAGCGGAAGTTCTGGTCCCATACTTTGGAATGCACAAGAGTCATCTCATAATCCAGACGGAGAAGCATCGCCACAGCAAGTATGTTTTTATTATTTAATATAATGTCTTATTATTTTTCAGCTATTTCTATATTTTCCCTTTCCTGTCGCAGATTTACTCAAATGCATCTTATGAAACAGCCTCGTAAGAAAAAAAAGTGAGTGATTCTGCGGTAGCTAAAGACAGGGTAGATATCGTACTTATGTTGCTCGAACTTGCATTAAAATCTCGGGAACGAGTCACGTACTTCTTTACCTGTTTTGTGGTCTATTCTGAACGCCGTATGGGTCACTGAGCGCTTTGCATGGATGAATGGGATGTATTTGTAGCCAGTCTTGAGCAACTTACATAGAAAATTGGTTTATTAAAGATACAATGAGTGATTTATGATTTTTTTTTACTTTTTCTGCCTCATGGTCTTCTACGACACAGAGGCGGAAACCGTGTGACAATTTAATTTTTATCAAAGTTATTAAACTATAATGTCTTCCTGTGGTTTTCAAGTAGCATTAATCAGACTTGGAATATTCAATGATATTACAGGAAAAATAGCATCCTAAATTACATGAACCTGGCGTTGTTTCTCGTCACGTACAGACAGGTATTGGAGTTTATGGAGACCCGCAAGCGGGCTGCCTGTCACATGATACGGCGCCGGCGGCGGTCTTTCTCCAGGCGGACGGGCGACAACAAGCCGGCGCTCTTGCGAATGTCGGCTTGGGGGTTGGGGATATGGGTCACGGTGTTAGGATGCAGAAACCGGTTTGGGGAAACACCGTCTTATGAGTTTACGTATTCCTTTACGTATCCTTCCCTTGAAAAAAAGACTAATAGTCCTTCGTACTTGAATTGCAGTCTACGACTAAAATTACTACTGAATTTAACCTATGTATAAAAGTGTTATGTAATGTGCTTAAGTGTCTGTTAATTAATTCAGAGGACAAAGGTGTTTCATGTATTATATGTTTAGTTAAGATTATTAATTTTGAATTGGAATTTAAAATCTAGCTGTATAAGCAAAGAAAAATTTTTGTTACCCTTCAAAGCAGCTTTTTAAAAGAACTAAAATAAAATATTTCGCTTGTATTCTGTGTATTGTACTATAATGAGAATGGTTTGTAATCTCCTGTTTTATGTTTGTGAGGTAGTGAGAGAGCCCAAGTCTGTCCAATGTCGGCCCTCTGCCGTCCCCAGCTTGTCCTGGTGCTACTTCGGCAAGGCCTGTGTGCCTTCCTCCTCCTGCTGGTCTCCGGGGTTCACAGCCAAGGTATTTTATTTTCATACTTTTTGTAAGCTTGTCCATGGTTATTTACAGTGCCTAGCCATCTCCTGGCAAATGGTTCATGCAGACATTCCTGGGGTCTATTCTGAGGGAAATAACAGCCCAGTGCAGCTTTATCGCATACACTTTAAACTGTTAAATATAGGCAGTAAGTGAACCAGTTAATACTGCTTTTATTTGAAGATTTTTGCTGTTTTAACTGAGAAGGTTTCCCACTTCTTTATGACGACTCACCATGGGCGTTGCCGCCAATTATTTGTTTGGACCCCCCAACATTTAACATAAAGCTAGTTCACCCAGCGCTGTTGTCTAGTGTGTCTCCCCCCACATTCAAAATGCTTCTAACGCCCCTGCGACTCACTCATTTCTTTACACCTTATATATAGCCCAGTGTGAATTACAATTTTGTTATTTTTAACTATGGCGGTATGGTAACTCTGCACCTCCAGGTAAGGGCTTAGCTATAAATTCTGGGCCCCCTGGTAAAATGCCATCTGGGGCCCCCAGAAAGGACCCCCCCCCACCATAGAGTGGATACATAATGTTTCCCAAGCAGATGCATAATTATTTTTCGTATTGAGGGGCCCTTATAAAATGCTGGGCCCCTGAATCTCCCAGGGTATCCATGTCCCTCAACGCCCCTGCTTCAGGGTTGGGGTTTAACTCTTGGCATCCTACCCCCCCTTACCCCCCGCCCCGACTCTGTGTGTTTGAAGTTTGAAGTTGTACCTGTGTTTGCTAGGTTTTCTGAATCTGTCTGAATGCTGTGCAGAAAGGTGAATTGGTATTTCTGGATTTCAGGTTGCATGTCACTATATGCCATATGGTGGACTAGATTCCAATTTAGGGTGTGTGTATGTATATATGTATGCACCTTGACCCTAAGATTATCATTTTTCTTTCTTTCATTGAGGAAATCTGTAAGACAAAATATTAGTCTGTATCGATGTTGCTTCAGAACTGGACTCCAGTCTGCAGTTCTGGATTAAACTTGTCATGTCACTGTCAAGTTTAATGTCATTGTAGCAACTTAGGTTAAAACATGTTTGAGGATACTGCAGTTCATTTCCTGTCATTTCATTGTATAGAACAGTTCTGTGTCTTACTCGGTACGCAACCTACCAACTATGAGACTGCTACCAGCCGTTAACATTTTTATATGCGATTTTCACTGCAGGCTTTAAAATCCACAAATGTCTTTCTTGTTGAACTCTTGTCAAACTCTTTCCTCTGGTATCTATTTGCTAATTTTTACATCTCACTCAGCATTAAGGTGGATGGGAATGTCAATACAATTCATTTATGACACTTATCCTCACTCTCAGGAAGTATAAATGTCTACATATACATGTCAACTCATCAGTCTTTGAGTAGATTTACAGAAACCGCCCCCACATACTCACAAAGATTAACTATTTTGAACACATACCTTATAACTAGTCAACAATTCTATAATCAGGAATGTGCATTTGCAAATTGATATTCAACATGCGTTGCCTTCAGTTTCCCACTGACTAAGATTGCATGCGTGACAGACACTCAGAAGTGTGATCCATTTTATTGATAGCATACAAATTCTATTCAGGGGCTAAGCAGGTACACCTTAGGGTGCCACGGTAACCGACTCACTACAGCAACAATGAAAGGCACATAGAGCTGCGATTCCACAGCAACCAAGGTGCCAGAGAGGCAAAAAATTATGTGCAGGTGATTATACAATATATATTTTTGGTGTAAAAAATTAGCTCCTCACTGATCTGTAACGAAGGTATATTTCAAAAACCCCCTGTTGAGTCATCTTTGAGTAACAAATCCTTCCATTTTTTTCTCATTGTCTTCAAAGCAGGGGGCAACATTGTGGCACTAGTGTAAATTTTACATGAATATAGAGACAGATTTAGTCACTCATGTGTTTTCTGCATTCTTCCATGTTGGATCGAGAGATTCCAGTTGAATGCACCTAACAAAGGTTGCCATGTAAACTTTGACTTGTTTGATCATGTCCTGGTAAGGCGGTAGCCCTGGCATTAATTTTAGCATTTTTTCTCCTCTTTTCTAGCTGAGGCTCACTTATATGTGCAGTCATGTTTTTACAGTTTTTTACACATCTCGAGTGAACAGGGGATTGGCAATGAGTGAATTCTGATTGGCAGTATTTGTCATATATTTTGCATATATATTTCCAATTTGATGCATATATGTGTTGTCAAAGAAAATACTTATTTTATCTCTGTATATTGTTGTAGATCACAGTGTTTTTTGCTATTTTGCTTACCATGTTATTGAGTATTTGTTGCCAGCCAATAGCAAATGCATTTGTGTAGTTATTGATTTTTGGATTGCTCAGTAGATATAATTGTGAAACTCCTTTCAAAGTATTCTGAAAGTCACTGTAATGCAAAACTCCCAGACTGCCACAATCTTGTCTTTTCTCTTTGTCATTTCTCTGAGGTCTTTCTTTGCTTTATGGCTCATCCTTTTGCTGTTTTTTCTATTGATCCCAAGAGCGCATTCCTCAGCTCTTGGTTCACGCAGAGGCTCGCACTGTCGACTACGTTGAGATGCCAGTCAGCCCTTGGCTGTTTCTGTAACATATTCTCTGTACAGGTGCAGAACGGAGCTGCACCAGAAGGGGACTTGGGGCAAACCCCAAGATGGGGCCAGCGAATATCATTTAAGTGTTTGAATAATCCCTTATCCGTACTTGTGTAAAGTTATTATTTCAGAACAAAACGTGACATTGGGCCATTTACAGACAATGCAGGCTTTGTTTGATACTGGGTGTAAAGGTAGACCAGGAGTGTTTCTCAATGCCAAGAATGCAAAAATCGTACTTGTGATCTTAGCAAGAGCAATCTTGCTAATTTGCCTCCCAAGAATGAACTTGGGATGCAGTGAATCATGCGATTGGTATCGTTTGGCTAGGATGCGATTTATGCGTCCTTAATATTGTGGGAGGGGCAAGAACAATATCCGGGGTTTTTTACCATCTTCCATGCTTCTATTCTTAGTATAGGAACCGGTCTTTGGCAATGGAAGATGACGTAAAATGCGTATGCGAGAACACAAGTACGGTCAAGGACGCATATTGTGAAACACCCCAAGACTTTGGACAGGATGGGTCTTCTCCAGGTTTCCTCTTATCTGCTGCCAGCCAGTTCTTGGTATGTTCAGGAGTTTCCATGGGAACTGTTATTACAAAAGAGGATGCAGTGGGTGAAAGCAATTTATGCTTTTCCTTTGCAGGGTTCCCAATGGACTGACGTTCATTATCCAGCGTACTTCATACTGCTCTACCAGTCTAGCTTTTCCCCAAATAGGCTTCCTGTCCTCTGGCTCTTAAATACAAGACCCGCTTTGAGAAGAATGGGGCAGCTGGAGCGGAGAGCGGGGACATATAAGTGAAAGGGGAAATTGTTGGGAAAGAGCTGGTGGAAACTGTGCAAATGAGATGGGACAAGAGATGGGTTGAGGGAAGTTGAAGGGGAGCGGAGGTCAGGAAGGCGAAATGGGGGCGATCCTCTTCCAAAACAGAAGGACCTTAAAAACTTCACAACTTTGCTTTGATTTTTTTTTGTTCCCTTGCTGCTTTGATTTTGTGACACTTTTCCCCTCTNTCACCCTGTCACTTAAAAACTCATTATAAAGTATCAGTTCCCCATTCAAGGAAGGGCATCACCCTTTACTGCTCACTCAGTCTGCTTGTTGACTGGTTATATATTCTGTTCATCTGCTGGTGGCTCCAAATAGCCTTAGGCAGCCTTTCTGTCCACTTCAGACGGAGCTTACCCGTTCATTTGCTCGATTCCAATCCCCTCTAGAAGAGGTGTTGGTGTGGCCAACAGATTAGCCCATCTTGTGGTCTGGGGAGCCCTATGTCCCAGTCCATTGTTTGGAACAATGTCCTATAAAAAATTATGCTGTCCTTCTGATAAGATGTGAAACTGAGGCCCTCGCTCTCTGAGGTCATAAAAGATTCTTGAGTGTCTTTCGAAAGAGTAGGGATGGTACCTTGATGTCCTGGCTAAAATTGCCCAATATGGCCCTGTAAAATCTGACCTCCTAATCATGTCCTATATCTAACTGGTGAATTCTCTCCTGGCCCTTCACAACCTTACCTACTGTATGTTTACTGGTGCAGAATGGCTGACGGGTGCTACACAGTGGTGGTGGTTGAAATGGCTCCCCATTGGTTCTGTTAAGCTCTTTTGGTGTTTTGAAAAGCGCTATATAAATTTAACATTCATTCATTCTTTCATTCACTTTATATACATATGAGCATTACACAAATACAAAACTGCTTGAAAGCTGCACTTGCTTGCTGTGAAACAGGAATAGAGTAGCACACACTATCAGTCAAGCTCACGTCTCTCATGCCATCTTCTTCTTGGATTCAGGGCGACTGAAGCTGACCGTGCTCTCTGAGGACCGGCTCCAGATGAAGTGGAAGGAGGCAGAAAGGCCGGTACAGGGGTACAAGGTTCGGGTCAAACCCATCTCAGGTGAGGCGCCGAGACATGGAGGAATGCCCCAATTGAGCCATCAAACCTCAGCACATTGTTATACGGATGATCCACTGGCATAAGTATGGGGTTGGAGGTTAGGAATGTTTTTGAATCTGTCATTTAGCCTTTGAAGCTGAGTTGCTCTCTTTTGTTCAGGTCCTCTTAGTTCATTGGCCTTTTAAATGGCGTGAATTACTTTCAAGCCTGCTTTGATGGATCATGAGTGAATTGTGGCTGTGGCTATGCCGACAGGCCTGTAACAGTTCCCTTGGTTGGTTTTTAAAGTCACTGTTACCCGTTGTTATTATGTTGTGGCCTATAGGTTGTGCAGTGTTTTTAGCGGTTTAACAGCGAACAGCTGGGGGTTTATGGCAAAGGTACAGAAGCAAAGACTAATCCTCACTGTTCAGTTGTTTTTATGGGGTTAATTGCATTGATGCAAAATAAATGTATGACCATCCAGAATAATATTAGTTTTTTTGAAGAAAAAAAGCCTGGTGTGTATATGGTCCTAGTATTGCTGGTGTGGATGTTACTAGATGTCGTGAGCACTTCTAAAGGAGTAAGTAGTACTGGGAACCCACTTTACTTCTACTGGTTAACTTCCAAGCAAAGATTCTAAAACTGTCTATCATTCCTTGGATGCCGTCCTAAACTTGTCAGCAGATGAGCCCCAGCCGGAGCTAATGCTGACGACAACGCGGGGTCAGGCAACGGTGGCAGGCCTGGACTCCCATCAGGAGCACATCCTGCAGATCCTGATGCTCAACGGGACCCAGGAGCGGCTCATTGCCAAGAGACGCTTCACCAGTAAGAGACAGGGGCAAGGGAAGAGGTTAGGAGGAGGGAAACAGACATATAAGTGGTTATAAAGTTACATTGGCTTATTGTCTTTTTATCCAAATGGTGACTTTGAGAGAAGGGATAACATGAGATCCAGGTGGCGCAAGGTAATGAATAGACATCTCTGTGTCACACCACACTTACTGTACACTACACTGGATTATTCAATTGGCATTGATGGTCTTTTGATTGCTTAAGGTATACTCAAGGGTTTGTTACTTGCACACATCAAAGTCAAACGAAAATCAGAATGATGTTTTTTCTCATACGGTCCTTTTTTGAAGGCCATAAAGGTAATGAATGGGCCATATTTTCAGTAGCTGTTACACCAAAGCGGATTAGTCGCATTCCCTAACGGGTGCTGTATTTCCCACTTCCCACAGCTCGCTTTATTGCACCCTGCATGTAAAAAATAACAGATACTTGCTCCTTGTTAAATCAGAAAAAAAACACTTATAGGAAAGGGGTGGAACTTTCCTGGTACCAAACACAACTTTGTTGTTTTAGGACCCCTGATTTCAGACCTGGGGAAGATAATTGTAAGGCAGACCTGAGGAAGCAATTAAAAGGCCCATAAAATCTGTGTGAGATCTTCTGTATGTTTGGTGTGCTTCTACAAAACTGCACGCCGTGACTTCTGGACATTCGCCATCCCCCCACGCCATGGCAGTCTGTTATTGACACCCTCAGACCCGTGGATTCTTTTGGAATTAGAGGTTGTATTTCTTTCAGGTGTGGAGTTTATGTACAGGCGGGCTGTAAATTTCTGAGAAGTGAGCTCTTGAGGCCTCGGGATAGCAATACCATTGAGATACATGACAGTGCTCTGTTATCCCCTATCCATCATTGTAAACCACTGTAGTCAGTCTATAGTCAGGGGTAAAGTACGCTTTAAAGTGAGTTTTTGTTTTTGCAAACCATGTCCACTATATTTATGCAAATATAGTGCAAATATAATATACACCGATCAGCAATAACATTAAAACCACCCGCCTAATATTATGTAGGTCCCCCCCACCATGCAGCCAGAACAGGTCTCACCCCTCGAGGCATGAACTCCACAAGACCTCTGAAGGTGTCCTGCGGTATGTGGCACTAAGACATTAGCAGCAGATCCTTGAAGTCCTGTAAGTTGTGAGGTGTGGCTGCCATGGATCGGATTTGTTTGTCCAGCACATCCCACAGATGCTTGATTGGACTCAAATGTGGGGAATTTGGAGGCCAAGTCAACACCTTTTTTTCCATGTTCCTCAAACTATTCCAACAGTGTGGCAGTGCACATTATCCTGGTGAAAGAGGCCACTGTCATCAGGGAATACCATTGTTATGAAAGGGTTTACGTGGTCTGGAACAATGTTTAGGTAGGTGGTATGTCAGCAGGACCCAAGGTTTCCCAGCAGAACATTGCTCAGAGCATCACACTGCTTCTGTCTACTTGCTTTCTTCCGATAGTGCATCCTGGTGTTATCTCTTCCCCATGTAAATGATACCCACATGTAACAGATAATGTAACTCATCAGGATCAGGCCACCTTCTTGCATTGCTCCATGATTCAATTCTGATGCTCACGTGTGCCCACTGTAGGCACTGTCAGGTAAACAAGGGTCAGCATGGGCATTCTGATTGGTCTGTGGCTATCCAGCCCCATATGCAGCAAGCTTTGCAACTGTGTGTCATAGCCAGCATTAACTTTTTCAGCAATTTGTGCTTCAGTAGCTCTCCTGTGGGATCAAACCAAATGGACTAGCCTTCACTCCTCACATTCATCAGTGAGCTTTGGGCACCCATGACTCATTTCCGGTTCACTGGTTAGCCTTCCTTAGAGTACTTTTGGTAGTACTGACCACTTCATATTGGGAGCAGCCCCTGAGACCTGCCATTTTGAAGATGCTCTGACAGTGGGAGTGTCAGGTGGGAGTGGTCATACTGTTTTGGCTCATCAGTGTATCTCATATCACTTGCTATTTTGGTTATTTTCATTACCATAGGCATGTGCCCATAGCTCTTTGAATTTGCCACTGTCATCATTACCCTTTGGCTAGGTCAGTCATAGTGAGAGTGCTCCTGCTACCATTCTGGCAGCATTTTTTCCTGTATTCTCTGATCCGTCCTCAGTCAACAGCCTGCGTGAGGATTGGCGGAACCGCAGTGGCAACCGTGAGCAGAGGAGGAAAGCCCAGGCGGGGGTCGGGGGACCAACCAACACTGATGATCTCACCACGGAGGCTCTGTTGGCAGTGCCCACTGTGCTGTACCAGCAGCCTACAACAACAGGTACATGGGGTGCTGCACATGTTGGGCGGCCTGTTGGTTCTCTGTTGCACAGATTCACTGACATATAAGTTATAATGCTATCCAAAAATATTTTCATGTGGGAGCGATCCAGATTCGGTACCAGTTTATGTCCTTTGCCACCATGCTTGCTGATATTTTAACTGTATATAGTTAGGCTATAGTTCTTGGCAAGTTTCAGTGTCCCCATATAAACTCTTGTTTGTTCTTGACGACATGGTCACTGATTCCATTGTTTTTGCACTAGTATCTTTCCCCCTTGAACTGACAAATAGATTCATAACCAAATATGAATAGTTCTTAATTCCAGTGGCATGAAAATATGCCATTGTTTATAGGACAAGACAATCGTTTTCTCTTTGAGTCTCACATCGCCGACCAGATGCTGTGAACTGCAGCTCTGTCCATGCTTCCCAAGCAGTAGGGGGCCTGGACACCCCTTTCTTTGATTTTCCATGACGATCACAGAGTGTAAGAGTGTGGGGGCACATCCTACAGCCAGATGCAAGGGGGGTGCTCCTCAGTACCGAATGCCCTCATCTCTGACATTAGAGTTTGCACAGAGGTCACCAATGTAGACATTCAGATAGCAAATCTGGCCCTCCCCCAGCTTCCTAGTTAGCCACTACTCCGTTTTTATTGATCTTCTTTGAGCCGTTTTGAGTTATTGTAGACTCAGAAGTCAAGTTCCCTTCTTCTTACTTCAGTCATGGTGTTGCACATTTTACTGGTTTCCTCATAAATTTAGGCCCCTCAGCAGCTGTAGTCTGTCAAGAGAAATATATCATCTCATCACACACTAACATGCTTATTTTAAACACATTTTTATGATAAGATAAACAGGCCCAGCCTCTTTCCCAAAACTAGATACAGTTATCTCATCCTTAATTTATTAAATAAATGGACAGATCATAATATTAGCCCTTCTGAGCCTGTTGAATACCTTGAAAATTGTTGTAATCTTATAAAGATTAAATTTTAAAGACATTATCAAGGTGTAAGAGCTTCTATAAAAATGCAGATGAACTCAGATGTTGTTCCTCACACAAAGTGAACAGGGTGCAACTACCCATTGGGAAGTGAGTTTAAAATTGAATGCTTTCTCCTTCATTATGGTATTTCTAAACGCCGGTGAACAGAAGTCCCAGAATCTGCAGATGAGGGCAACAGGAGAGAGAGTGTGCCAGTGGAGAAGAAAAAGAGGAAGAAGGATCGTTTGAAGGCTGATAAGGAAAAGGGAGTGCAGAAGACCACACGGGAGAAAGAAGAGCCAGAGATGTCGAGTAAAACCAGGACAGGGAAGACTGTCCCCACACAGCCTGTCACCGGTATGACAAACTTACTATGTTATCTGTGTACGTGAAGTCTTCTTTTGAAATATGAGCAAAGAGAAAAAAAAGACCAAGGATTGGAGGTACAGTAGGAAGTGGAATAAATCAAAAGTTTTATAGCTGAAGGACACAAAACACGGACAGATAAACATTGAGCAATCCCTTGTTGTGCCTTAGGGGCAGAAATGTCTTCCCGTTCAGGAAAGAAGAGCATGGTTCAGTCTTGAGGAAGACATTCTCTGTAGATAACATCAGTCGGGCTGTCACTGTGAGCTTACATGCACGCACACGCATGCACACACATCTTTAGGGATGAGTGTGCTGTGAATGCACTGCCTCACCCGCACTGGGGGTATGAAAGCCTATGAAATCGCAGACATGTCACCCTTCCCAGTGTCACCCTCCATGACTGCCTGCTGGCCCGTTCTGCCTTGTCCAAGCTAACCCACTTATCTACTCATTCCCAATCTCACCATGGTTGAAGCGTCATCGGACCGGAAGGCATTTGTGTGCGACAGTACCGATGCCGCCGATGTGGTTCTGCTGGTGGATGGATCATGGAGCATCGGTCGCACCAATTTCAAGAGGGTGCGGGAATTTCTGGAGGCCTTGGTCACTCCCTTCCACATCGGCAGCGACGGAGTCCAGATCGGTGAGCTGCCTCTTGTGCTTCATGTTGGGATGGTTAATGTCAAGCCCCATTTACTCTTCTGGAAAAACAGATTTCATTTTTGTGTGTCTGTAGCTTAAGCTAGCCATGCATTATACATTTTTAACGTATAATGCATTATACGTTTTAAGTGAAGAACCTCCCAACATGAAGCAGAGTATGTTTAAAAGCATATAATGCACGGCATGGAGTGCATTAACCCACACGGTTACCACATATGTAGCTCACAATTAGGAATTGCTTATGTAGCATAGAGCTATATTACCTTTCAACCAACTGTCTACTATCTTACCCCCCTTTTTTCATTGCAAAAAGCAATGAAACTGGCCTTCTTTGGACTAGGGTCTCTTTCCACTTTGGAGTATCTGAAGCATGAGCAGTTGTGGGTTTGATTACAAGCTCAACTTTCTTCTGAAACTCGTCTACTCTTGTTCTGAGAAATGAAGGCTATTCCACGTGAGAAATTGGCAGGAAACTAAAGATCTCATACAATGCTGTGTACTACTGCCTTCAGAGAGCAGCACACACTGGTTCTAACCACAACAGAATGAAGAGAGGGAGACCCCGGTGCACAACTGAATGAGAAGACAAATATATTAGAGTCTGTAGTTTGAGAAACAGATGCTTCATAGGTCTTCAGCAGGCAATTTTACTAAATAGTACCTGCAAAAGACCAATCTAAACATCAACATCATAAACATCATCCAGGATGCTAGCCTGCTATGCAGAATGGCAAAGAAAAAGCTGTATCTCAGAATGGCCAATAAAAAGAAAAGACTGAGATGGGCAAATGAACACAGACACTGGCCAGATGAAGATTGGAAAAAAGTGTTATGGATAGACAAATATAAGATATAAGCTTGAGGTGACTATGGTATAGTATGGTATGGTATAGTAACTATAAGTGTTCTAAAAGCATGACTACAAAGGTAGAGAAATGTAAATATATATTCAGCCATAGTTTTGTAATTTAGCTTTATGTATCTCCTGCTTTCAGCTGCATTATTTATAAAAACTTATTTTATTGTTTACCAATTATTGTAATTGGACTACCATCCCAGAATGTTTAGGCACGTTAAACAGGACTGTAAAGTTTAATTGGATTACAAGTGCATTACATCAGTAAATCATATTTGTATTTATTCACTAACCGCTGGTCCAGGCCCTCAGCCTTAAGCCACAATAAACAGTTTTATGTAAGGGCTCACAGCAACATGTTACTGGAAAGAGTTACTATTATCATATACATTATTATGAACATTATTAAGAAAATCAGAAATGATCAAGGAGGTGGTGATGTTGCTTGTCTGCCCCCCCGGCAGCCCTGACCCAGTATAGTGGAGATCCCCGCACGGAGTGGCACCTCAGCAACTTTACCAGCAGTGAGCAGATCTTGGAGGCCATCAGGAGCTTCAGATACAAGGGAGGGAACACTTTCACAGGTATGCAAGTAGTGTGCTCAGTTATTCCGAAGCCCATTTGTGGTCAGGTGTTAAACGGCTCTTTGGGCAGTATGCACCTGAACAATAATTATGACCTGTGATGAACTGGCATGCAGTACCGGTCCTAGCTGGTGTGGCGCCCCTTGTCTGAGGCAGAGTGAAACTGGCTGGCAAGTCGGCGCCCCCTCAGAATGTGGTTACCTAGGCGGCCACCTATGTTGCCTTTAGGATTGACCAGCCCTGACAGGGGTAGTATTAAAACCCAGCCAATAATAGCACCTAAGCCACATTATAACTTTATAAACACAAACTAAACAGCAAGAGAAATAACACCTGGCTAGCATTGATACACAAAAACCTCATTCAATGAGCACTACTCTCATATGATAATGCTGTTTCTTATACATGTAAGACTAATAAATAATGAAAATGCAAAGGCTTAAAACTAGGGATGTAACGATACCAAAAACTCACAGCACGATAATATCACCATAAAAGGTTTACAATACGATAGTTATCACAATATTTAAAAAGAAAAAACCTGTTTTAATAATTAATAATCAACATGTTTATTTATATCAAATTAGTTTTTTTACATAAAGTGCTTCTGCTTTTTTTCGTTGGTGAAATATCGGACTTTGACCTTAAGCATTTGCCAGAACTTAACAGTAATTGTCCTTTGCAATGAATGACTGAAAAATGCATGTAATTATAAACCAAAAACAAGCAGTCAGTAGTTCCTTTATAAAATATTAATTATTACTGCAGCAGCTGGATCTTTTAATCAAAACACAATTTGTAATCCGAAGTAGTGTTTTCTGCCATTTTTTCGCCAGGTCTGCTTTCACCACATGAAATATAGGCAACGGCCATACATACTAACACACTAAATAATGCGTGAAAACAGTGCACATGTTCATTGGGAGTGGTGGGGGAAAAGAAAATGACACCTCAAAATTTAGAACAGCAACCTTTAGTAAATATTAATTGTAGAACATGAAGAATCATGAATACATTTATATACATTTACATTTAAATGGAAAAAAGGTAAATTTATAAAGTATGAATTAAAATATTGTTTGTTTTGGGTTCTGGGTCCAGTGGTTATTCCTAGTTAATCCTAAGTCTAAATCTAGTTATATCCTAGTTCAGTTTTGCTAATTTTTGACACTGCACAGATCATATAAAATATTTATTTTGAATTTATAATCACATAATAAGTCATTTAAATTCTGTATCCAGTATCTTTAGCACCTATTTTAAATCAGTAACCTCCCCCCACATATCAAACTCAAGCTTAACAATATCTAAGGGTTAATATACCGTTCAATTCAGGCATAACAATGTCCAAAGGTTAATATACAGTTCAATTTAGTCCATCATATCTTAACTGCATACATTGTAAGAAATTCAAAGTTTTCTCTACTTATCTTTCACAGTTGCTCCATGGGTCTATCTTGCCACCCTGCTATAAATTCCATTGGGTGGGTCCCGCTTCGGCAAAGTACAGTAAAACCTTGGATTGCGAGCATAATTCATTCCATTATTTTCCCATTAGAAATAATGGAAACACACTGTGTGTTTTGCAAGAAGTGTAAAGCTGACAATGTGCTTAGTGTTGTGCAAATCTGGGCCAATGATTTGCTAACTGAGTGTAAAGTTATGCCAAATGTGGGAGACTTTTTCTTTTAGTGTGTAAGCAATCAGAAAAAAACTGTAATGGCCGGTTCCTGTAGCATTTGTCTATATTGCCTGTGCCACAGACTGGCCCTTCTGGCAAGCTGTCCAGTTTGCTCCTCTGCCATGTGCCCTCTGCTGTCTGGGATGGACCCCAGGCTCACCAGGACCCTGTACTGGATATTCAGAATCACAAACTTTTATTGTCCCAGAGGAAATTGTTTTCATGAGTGGTTATGAAAGACAATTGGATAGATGTATAAAACCACAAAGCCAACGCAAAGCTTTGAATTCTTGAAATTTTGCTGACATGAATATTTTGTTGAATTGAATATACTGAATCACTGATAACATTCATCTCGTTACATTTACAATTTTTCTGAATTGCTAAAACACATTTCCTAAAATCTACTCTCCTGTTCCATAAACAATAAGCACAAACCCTAAAATTCAGGCTACACTCACAAAACCTTTGACTCATCTAGAAAAATCAAACAATATTCTCAAAACAATATTATCTTTTCTCAACAGCAAACATTGCTTTCAGATCACGCATCAAACCAGTAAGCTAAATAAACACTACTGAGCAGTCATTACACACTACAGCAAAAAACTGAAAACACTACCAGTCAAAACTGTTGCTGGCATATAGAGAAACGTTTACTGTGGACATGGTCTTTTGCACGTTCAGCTGCAATATTGGAAACATAAGAACATAAGAACATAAGAACTATAGAAACGAGAGGAGGCCATTCAGCCCATCAAGCTCGCTTGGGGAGAACTTAACTACAGTTTTTCTCGATTGCTTAAACACACTTCTTGAAACTATGCCTCGTATTCTCAAAACAGTAAACACAAATCCATAA